GAGTGGAGATGCAGCCTCTCTAGTGGGCTTCTGAGACTCAGCTGCCTGGCATGGGAAGCTTAAGGGGCAGTCCTGTGTCACACACATGTAGCCTGCGTTACTAAGTGGCCACTCTGTCTGCATCTGCTCCCACTTTAAGCTAGAAGGGGTGTGTCTCACTGAGGGGTGGGGACATGACTCAGTGAGGGGCTGGAGGTGTGGCTCAGTGGTAGAGCACCTGCCTAGAATCCCCCAGTGAGGGGCTGGAGGTGTGGCTCAGTGGTAGAGCACCTGCCTAGAATCCCCCAGTGAGGGGCTGGAGGTGTGGCTCAGTGGTAGAGCACCTGCCTAGAATCCCCAAGTAAGGAACTGGGGGTGTAGCTCAGTAGTACAGCATCTGCTTACAATGCACGAAGAATCCTCCAGTGAGGGGCTGAGGGCGTTGCCTTTGACTAGGAAAGTGTTTTCCAAAGACACTCAGGAGACAGAGGCAGAAGGATCGAGTTCAAGATTAACTGTGAGCACATAACACAACTGTAACTTAAAAAAAAAAAAAGAAGACAGAGGGAGGGAGCAAAGGAGAAGGAAGAGGAGGGAGAGAGGCAAAGCAACAACAAAGAAGAGAACTGGGCACAGCACATAGGCAGGTGCTCACATTTCAGCACCTGCTTACCTCAGTCTATGAGCAAGCCCACACCCTTGGCTTGATTCAAGGCCCCCAGAGCTGGCCTACTAACCTCTGCTTCCCCTCCAGGGACCCTCTCAGCCTTTTGTGAGGAGGCCTGTTCTCCATCCCAGAGGTCTTGGCTACCCAGAGAGCCCTCCCATTGCCAGACATACTGTCCTGAGATAGGCAGCCCTGGAGTAGTGAATTGGCTAGGCTCTCTATGTCCTTTGACCTGTCACACAGGGGAAACAATGACAAGTGTCCCTTGAGTTTGTCACATGAGGCCTGGCATGGAGATGATGCATGTGGAGTGGGGGCAGCCATGTGGGCTGTTTCCAATGTGACTCTTGCCATGGTTAGGGACATTGGGAAGGGACTGCTGGTAGCCTGCTCAGAGTCAGAGCTGTCATGGTAGACTTTAGTTGAGACTGAGGAGTGCTTTGTCCTGACTGGTCAGAGACACTGACCTGGGCCTCCCACCACTGACTCCAATGGGGACTAAGGTGCAGACACCAAGAAGGGCTCTGGGGCCTGATGAAGAATGTGTGCCAGGCCTGGTGGCACAGGCCAGTAATCTCAGCTCCTCAGGAGGCTGAGGCAGGAGGACTCCAAATTCCAAAATAAACTTGGGCAACATTGCAAGTTCAGGGCCAGCCTAGGTAACTTACTGAGACCCCATCTCAAAACAAAGAGGGCTAGGGCATGACTCAGTGATAGAGCCCCTACTGGGGTGTGGCTCAGTGTGGCCTTCAGTGGGGGCAGCCGTGGGACCTGAATGGATTATCACAGAACTGAGTGAATAAGCCGCACGACTGCACATACGAGTACCAAAAGCATAGGCAGCTCTGCTTTGATTCTCATACTCAGCAGAGCTACAGCTGAATGTTTACACGATAGTGAACAATAAAGTGGCAAGAATATAGCAGTTCAGCAAAATGTAATGAGCAAGATAACAGGATCTCCACAGTATGCCTTCTAGGGAGATCAAAGTGTCTCCTGAGAAACTAGGGGAGCACCAGCATTCCCACAGGCATTCTTGTATAAACTTTTTCAGGGGACAAGGCTCTCCAGGCATACATGCTCAAGGTTCAGCTTAATTTACCAAGCATATATTTAAAGCCACTGGAACACTATTTCATACTCTCTTCATCTCAGTATAGTAGAGCACCTGTCTAGAATTCCCTAGTGAGGAGCTGGGGCATGGCTCAGTGGTAGAGCACCTGCCTAGAATCCCCCAGTGAGGGTCTGGGGGCATAGTTCAGCAATAAAACTGTTTAACTGGCATGGGCAGGACCCTGTGTTCCATCCCCAGCATGGCAAAAAAAAACCTTTTTAAATGGTGGATAGAGACATCTTCAGTGATGTAGGCACTGGTAAGTTGCCCACGCTCCTGTAAATAACCCTTCACCCCATGCTCCTGGAAAGCAACACTAATGGAAATCATTGGTCACCCCACCCCAGAGAAAAAAACGATGTGCAGGTAGAAGGGAGACTAGTTGAGAAGATAAAAGGGGTCAGCAGGAGTGAGAGGGGGGCAAGAGAGGGTAATGGTAAAAATATATTATTAAATATGTATGCAAATGTCATAATGAAGTTTATTATTATGTATAATTAATACATGCTAATTTAAACATTGAAGGGGCTGGCAAGATGGCTCAGCAGGCCAAGGTACTTGCCTCCAAGTCTGACTATTTGAGTTTGATTCCTGGGACCCACGTGGTGCAAGGAGAGAACCCTTAACTTGTCCTCCATTGTGGCACATTTGCACACACACACAGAGAAACACACACACACACACACACACACACACACACACACGCGCGTGCGCAGAGCAATGTAATTTAAAAAACACTGAAAAACAAAAGAAAGAAGGAAGAGCAGGCAGGAATGCATGGACACTTCCTGGACTGGATGTATGGCTTGGTTCCTAGTGGGTTATTCCTCTGAGCCTGGCTGTTTCCTTCCCAGGGAGCAAAGGGGTTCAGAGTGATGTATACTGTGCCGCAAGATAACACAGGACTGCAGGACTGTGACTAACTGGAATTCTCTTTGTGCCTCAGGTCCACGTTGCAAACTTCCTATCCTGAGTGAGAGAGCTGGTGAGGGTGGAATGAACAGAGACTGCGTCCCCTGGAGAGGCAGCACAGCAGCCTCAGGAAGGCCCCAAGGGGCCAGGCGGGGTTGATGTGTGGGGTGGGGAGGGACTGCCACAGCCCTGTGGCTCTGTGGGCCAAAATAGCTCAAAGGGAAGTGGGCAGTTTTCATATGAACAAGGTTTGCACAGGGCCAGCTAGGGCCCCAGTGTCTCAGCCTCCTCCTCAGGAGCCCTTGGCGCTCTGTGATTGCCTTTCCTGGGTTGGTGGATGGGAAAACTGAGGCCCTGAGGGCCTGATGGGCATGTAGAGGCTGGATAGGGCAAGGGGTTTACCTCACCTCACTCACACACCTAAGATGGCTTTATTCATGAGGTGCTACCCTGGGGTCTGAGGTTTTGGTCAAATAACAGTTTGATCCTTAGAGACAGGGTTTCACTATGGGGTCCAGGCTGGCCTTGAACTCACCATCCCCTATCTTAGTGTGCATAGTGCTGGGATTATAGGTGTCCACTGCTATGCCCAGGTTGTCTAAATAACTTTAGGCTTCAAATGGGGCTGGCAAGAGGATTCTGGAAAGACCTGTCAATCCCAGGTCCTGGAGGGACGGGGCATGCCTCTGTGTGTGTGTGTGTGTGTGTGTGTGTGTGTGTGTGTGTGTGCGTGTGCATATGCACACAGGATACTGACAGACCCTGTCTGTCCCAGGCCAGTGGTAATAGTGGTGGTGATGGAGGTCAGGTGGGGCTACCTATTCACAGAGCCGGACCCAAGGAGTCCACCAGACCTAGAGGTTTTCGGTCAGTCGCTATGAACTGAGTCAGGCCTAGGTGGGGTATGGCGACCCCCAGCTGGGACAGGGACTGGACACAGTTCCCCACAGCCTCCCTGATCCTCCAAGTGCTCCAAGGCAGGTTACAACCACACTTCACAGATGGAGAAATAAATGGAGGCCTGTCTCCAGCTCTTGGCTGCCTTTTCCCATCCTTAGCAGTGACAGAGCCACCCAGGGGCTTCTCAGAGCTCTACAGTCTGGACTGAGCAAGGTGAGGGCAGGAAGGTGGCCCCAGGCCCCTAAAACAGGCTGTTCCTGAGAGTCACAGGGCCAGATCAGGGCAGGAGGAACCAGGCACCCTGGCCTCCTCCCAATCCCACATGGCCACCAATGGTCCTGCAGTATGGGGGACACCTGCTCAGCCAGGTACCCCTGGGGAAAAGTCTTACCTGAGAGTAAGGGGCTCCTCAGCACAGTCACTCCATCCTTTGCCTGCACACCTGCCCAAGACAAAGTCAGTATCACAGACTCTGGCAGGCAGTAGGCGAGGCGGCCAGCTTCCTGTCACCACTGAATCATCCCTCACACATCCGTTGCCGGACTATGAGGCTGGCGAGTGACAGATGGGGGGGCGGGAGAAGAAAACAAGAGCGGGGGGAGAGGAAGAAGGGAAGGAGAGACAGAGAGAGCAGTAGATTGAAAAAGAGCAAAAGGCAGAGAGAGAGGGAGAAAAAAAGCAACAGAGAGACAGAGACCGAGCTGCATGTGGTGTTGCATACCTGTAATCCCAGAATTCGGGAGGTGGAAGTAGAAGGCTCAGGAGTTCAAGGTCATATTTGACTACATAGCAACTTCAAAGCCAGTGTGAGCTACATGACACCCTGTCTCAAAAAAAACAAAGAAGGGCCAGTGAAATGGATCAGCTGGTTAAAGGCACTTGCTGCCAAGCTTGACAACCTGAGTGGGATTACTGGGATCTACGTAGTGGAAGGAAAAAACTGACTCTTGCAAGTTGTCTAGTGTCAGAGGCAGTCAGCCAGCCATGCTGACATGTGTGTGTGTGTGTGTGTGTGTGTGTGTGTGTGTGTGTGTAGGGCACACAGATACACACTGTGAATGCAGAGACCAGAATCAGCCTTAGTGGTGTTCCTTGTCCCTTAGGTGTCATCCATCTTTTAATTAATTATTTATTTAATTAATTATGGTCTTTTTGAGACAAGGTTTCCATGTAGTCCTAGCTGACCTGGAACTCTCTATGTAGACAAGGCTGGCCTTGAACTCACAGAGATCTGCCTGCCTCTGCCTTCCGAGTGCTGGGATCAAAGGTGTGTACCACCATGTCCGGCAGTCATTCATCTTTTTAATAAACCACAAAAGCCTTTAATTAATTAATTTAGTGTGTATATGTGTATGGGTACATGTGCCACAGAGCACATGGAAGGTCAAAAGAGACCTTTCGGGACTTGGTTCTCTCCTTCCACCATTTGGGTCCTTGGAATCCAACTCAGGTTTCCCCAGTGAGCCATCTTCCCAGCCTGTGGCTTTGCCTCTCATCTCGTCTCCTCCTCCTTCTCTTCCCCACCCCGTCTCCTCTTTCTTGAGACAGGGTCTCACTATGTAGCCCTCGCTGGCCTAAGCTCTCTAGAACTTGCAGAAATCTACCTGCCTCTGCCTCTGCCTCCTGAGTGCTGGGATCAAAGGCGTACGCCACCATGCCTGGCTCAACCTTGTTTTTGTTTGTAGCTATAGCTGGCCTGGAACCAGCTAGAACTCATTGTGTAGACCAGACTAGCCTGATCTCACAGAGATCTGTTTCCCCAGTGCTGAGATTACAGCTGTGCACCACCACACACCGCTTTCACCTTGCTTTTTGAGTCTCTCACTGGCCTGAGGTTCACTAACTAGTCAGGCTGGCTGGCTAGTCAGCTCCAGCAGCCCCTTTATCTCTACCTCTGCCCAGCTGGTGTTACAAGCAAGCATGTGCCCATGGCCAGTTTCTTACAAGTGGCTGGGGATCCAAACTCAGGTCTTGAGCTTGTGCAGCAAGGGTTTACCGAGGGCCATCTTCCCAGTCCCCAAGCTGCATCCTGGTTGGGAGTGTCATGCCTGTGTTGGTGAGCAGCAAGGAGGCCCAGCATGCACTTGTGCCCTGAGTAGCAGAGATCAGACTGACTTGCAGCACTCAGTTCCTCCAACACCTGGGAAAGGGCAACACACGCATGTCCTACCTGCTGGAGACATCAAGGCATGAGTATAAAAGTGCCCCCAACCTGCTGTGAGTTTAGAATTTCAGAAATTCTAGGTCTGGGGACCCCCAGGTGGCCTGGCTTTGGCTTCCTCCTTTAGTCTTTGTGCCCAGGACCTGCTGCTGCCACCGTGTGGTGAAGTCATGTAAACATAGCTCTGGGAGCTGTTTCTAGAACCTTGCCCTGGACGTGGGACCCTTTGAAGCCAGCTCCAGATTTCCAAATGCATGCCAGGAGATTAATGACCAAACTCTTTTGCTCAGTGGGGTAATGCCTGATGTACTGAGTTCATGATCCTGTTTTTTCTCCCATGGGGACAGGCGGGGAGGCAGAGACCATCCAGAGGCAAAGCTGAATTTGAATCCAGACCCAAAGACCTGTCAGGGCTCTTCCTGTTTCCCTATCCCCTGGCTATGCAGTGGTCCCCAGGAGCACCACCAGGCTGGAAAAGAGGGAGGTGACTTGCAGCAGGAGCCTAGGAGTGGCCAAGGACCACTGTGTCTGCTTGTCCAAGAACCACAGCTCCAGTGACTGTTAGGGTTGGGCCTGCAAGCAAGGTCAGGCTCTCACAGGAGGTCACTCATGTTCCTCCAGATTCTACTGTGCTTAAACACCTCAGTTTCCTTCAGTTGTAAAAAACAAGCTTTAAAAAACTGGACAGCAGCGGGGCATGGTGGTGCACGTCTTTAGTCCCAGCACTCAGGAGGCAGAGGCAGGCAGATCTTTGGGAGTTCAAGGCCAGCCTGGTCTTATATAGTGAGTTCCAGACCAGCGGGGTTACAGGGAGACCCTGTCTCAAAAAGATACCCCCCTGAAATTAAAAACAAAACAAAACAAAAACTGGACAGAGCTGGGTGTGGTGGTGCACACCTTTAATCCCTGCACTCTGGGAGGCAAAGGCTGGTGGATCTCTGTGAGATTGAGGTCAGCCTAGTCTACATAGTGAGTTCCAGGCCAGCTATAGTGAGACCCTCTCCCCAAAAGATGACCCCCCCGGCAAAAAAAGACAAAACCAAACACAAACAGACAACAAACAACAACAAAAACTGGACAGAGATGTCGAAGACATTGCTCAGAGGTTAAGAGCACTGGCTGCTCTTGCAGAGGACTGGGATCAGTTCCCAGCACCCACCTCAGCTAACAACTATTTGTAACTCCAGCTCCAGGGGATCTGTTACCTTTTTCTGGTCTCCCACATACACATAATTAAAAATAAATCTTAAAAAAGAAAAGTAGAGAGAGGGCTGGGAAGCTAGCTCATGTGGTAGAGTGCTTGCCTAGCCAGCAAAAACCTTGGGTTCAGTTCCCAGTATCACATCAGGTGTGAACCAGGTGTGGTGGTGGATTCCTGTAATCTCAGTACCTAGGAGGAAGAAGCAGGAGGATCAGAACTTTAAGGTCATCTTTGGCTACATAGTGAGTTCAAGGATAGCTTGGGCTGTGTGAGATATTCTCACCATTGTTCATCTTTAAAACGATTTTTAAAGTTTTTTAGGGGGCTGGAGAGATGGCTCAATGCTTAAGAGCACATATTGCTCTTCCAGTTCGATTCCCATCAGCCATGTCAAGCAGCTCTCAACTGCCTGTAACTACACTGGCACTCACATACACATACCCACACACAGACAAATACATATACATATAATTAAAAAATAAACCATTAAGGCCAGGTGTGGTGGTGCATGCCTTTAATCCCAGGGAAAGGCAGGTGGATCTCTGTGAGACTGAGGCCAGCCTGGTCTACATAGTGAGTTCCAGCCAGGCCAACTGGGGCTGCAGGGAGACCCTGACTCAAAAAGACTGAAAAAAAAAAAAAAAAAAAAAACCCAACCACTAGCCCTATTTATCCCACCACGGATATGCGTGTGTGTGTGTGTGTGTGTGTGTGTGTGTGTGTGTGTGTGTGTGTGCTCACATGTGTGTGGGTGCCTGTGGAAGCCAGAAGAGGACACTGGATTGCCTGGAGCTGAGGTTACAGGGGGTCGTGAGCCATCTGATATGGATGTTATGATCTGAGCCCAGATCCTCTACAAGAGCAGTACAAGCTCTTGATCGCTGATCCCTCCAGCTCATTTTATTGTGGTGCTAGGGATGAACCCCAGGACCTTGTGCACACTTGGCAAGCCTTCTACCAGAGTCACACCCCTAGCCTCTGAAGTACATTTTATTGAATTTTTTGGGGGGACAGGATCTGGCTATGCAGCCCAGGCTGGCCTGAAACTTGTGATCCTCCTGACTCAGCCTCCTTCCTGAGTGCTAGAATGAAAAACTGCACCACCTACCAGCTAGTGAGTTTATTAATTTTTAAAAAATATTTTATTTTTAGGCTAGGCGTGGTGGCGCACGCCTTTAATTCCAGCACTAGGGAGGCAGAGGCAGGCGGATCTTTGTGAGTTTGAGGCCAGCCTGGTCTACATAGTGAGTTCCAGGACATCAGGGGCTACAGGGAGACCCTGTCTCAAAAACAAAATTGTATTTTTATGTGTATGAGTGTATTGCTTGCATGTGTGTTAAGTGTACCTGTGTCATGCAATGCCTGAGGAAGTCAGAAAAGGGTGTTGGATTCCCTGGAACTGGAGTTACAGATGGCTGTTAGTCGCCCACCTGGGTTCTCTGGACGTGCAGCCAGTGCTCTTAACCATTGAGCCATCTCTCCAGCTCCCAAGCATATTAATTTCAACACACAAGAAAGACTTCTACCAATTGCAAAGGCTCTTGGTAGTACTCAGAGACTCTCCAGCCTCCATCCCCATTCCCTACAGAGGGACAAGGCAGGATAGTTAACTGTGTCAATTTTCTGCATCTCAGTGAATGAAGAAAATGCCAAAAAGCCACTGCTGTGATACGAATTGCTTTCCTGAGTATTTGATGTGTCAGAGAGCTAGGGACAGGGGCCTTCAGATATGGGAGACTGAGTTAGTTATAGTCTTCATTAAAAAAATGATTTCAAATTAAGTTTCCATTTATTTGTATGTGTGGACACTTGTGGAGGACAGAGGAAAATTTGCAACGTCAGTTCTCTTTCTACCTTGTGGTTCTGGGGAGTAAAGTCAGGTCATTCGGCTTGGCAGCAAGTGCCCTTACATGCTGAGCCATCTTACCAGCAAGATATTGTGGGTCACCTTCATGTAAAAACTACAGAGGGAAGATGCTGAAATTGGATGTGTTCAGAAGCCTGTCTTCTACCTCACTGCACCCAGACGTCTGTGCAGTGTTCAAGAGTGGGCAAGGAACCTGGGAGTATGGCACAGGCCTATAAACCCTGCACCCAAGATGATGAGGCAGGACAGTCAGTTCTGGGTCTGTGCTAGAACCTATCTCAAAAGCAGAGGAGGGGCTGAAGAGGTGCTCAGTGGTTAACAGTGCTTGCTGATCTTGCAAAGGCCCTGGGTTCAGTTCCCAGTATCTGCCTATAATTCCAGCGCCAAAGGATCGGGACACCCTTTTAGCTTCTGTGGGCATTGTACTCTTGTGTATAAACACACACACACAGAGTTTAAAAAAAAAAAAAAAAAAAAAAGGCCCGGAATGGGGGCGCACATCTTTAGTCCCAGCACTCAGAGGCCGATCTCCTGGTCTACATAGTGAGTTCCAGAACAGCTGGGGCTACAGGGAGACCCTGTCTCATTAAAAAAAAAAAAAAAAAGGCCAGAGCTGGGGGAACCGTGGCACGTGGCACACAGTACATTGGAGCCATGGGGATCTTTGTAGATTCCAAACCAGCCAGGAATACATAATGAAATTCTATCTGAACAAAAACACAAAACCAAACCAAACCAAAACACAAGTGGCTGGAGAGCTGGATCAGTAGTTAAGGGCAGTGGCTTCTTTTGCAGAGGACCTGGGTTTGGTTCCCCACATAGTGACTCACAACCATCAATAACTCCAGTTCCAGGAGATCCAACACCCACTTCTGGCCTCCATGGGCATTGCATACATTGATGCACTTACATACATGCAGGCAAAACATTCATACACATAAAATAAACTAATCCCCTCAAATTAAAAAAAAGACACAAAGCATTTTAAATCACCATGAGAGTTCATATCACAATATGTGGCTTTCAAAGTCACTAAGATCTAGGTCCTAGAAGCATAATCTGGCTTAAAGGAATGGATCCCAAAGGAGTAACATTCCAGCATACCCATCGTGGATCTGTGAACACAAATATCATGGAGTACTAGGACATGACTACTTGCCGAGAATTCCCTAGTGAGGGGCTAGGGCTCAGTGATCAAACATTTGCCGAGAACAGAATCCCCCAGTGAGGGGCTAGGAGTATGGCTCAGCAGTAGAATTTTTAGGTAGCCTATTTTCCTTGTGTTCAATTCCACGACTGTTTTTTTTTTTTTTTTTTTTTTTTTTTTTTTTGTCTTTTTGAGACAGGGTCTCCCTGTAGCCCCAGCTGTCCTGGAACTCACTATGTAGACCAGGCTGGCCTTGAACTCAGAGATCTGCCTGCCTCTGCCTCCCAAATGCTGGGATTAAAGGTGTGCACCACCATGCCCAGCTTCAGGACTGTTCTTTTAAAAAAATGAAAAAAAATTTTGTGTATTGCCTGCATGTATGTGAGTGCACCTGTGTCGTGCAATGCCTCAGAAGAGGTTAGAAGAGGTCTTCAGATTCCCCTGGAACTGGATTAAGGACGGTTTGTAGCCACCATGTGATTCCCAGGTCCTCTGCAAGAGCAGTCAATGCTCTTAACCTCTGAGCCATCTCTCCAGGCCCCCAGGACTGTTTTAATAACCACAAAGGCAGAGAAACCAGGTGCCAATTGTGCAAACTTGACTGAGGATTATCTATATAGCTTGTAAAAATGCCCCTTGTAGTTCAGGTGTTTTGCTAGGGGCATACTCACCCTTAACTATGACTTATGGAGGGGAGGCAGGTAGCAAACAGTATTAAAAAAAAAAAATATTGGGGCTGGAAAGATGGCTCAGGGGTTAAGAGCATTAACTGTTCTTACAGAAGACCCAGGTTTGAATCCCAGCGCCCACATGGCAGCTAATAACCGGCTGTAACTCCAGTTCCAGGGGATCTAACACCTTCTTCTGACCTACTGATTGCACAGCATGATGGGGGCACTTACATACATGCAGGCAATACACTCTTACATGTAAAAAAATTTTTTTAAAAAGTGTTTTTGGCCGGGCATGGTGGCACACACCTTTAATCCCAGCACTTGGGAGGCAGATCTTTGTGAGTTCAAGGCCAGCCTGGTCTACATAGTGAGTTCCAGGACAGCTGGGGCTACAGGGAGACCCTGTCTCAAAAAGACCAAAAGTTTTTACTTATGTGTGCATGGGCATGCTACAGCATGTGGGGGGTCAGAGGAAAAAATCCAAGAGTCAGTTCTCTCCTCCTAAGGCTATCTCAGTTAGGCTGAGGCAGGTACCTTGACCTATTGGCTCTACTGAGCAGCTTTTCATATTTACCTGGAAATTTGGGCACTTGCAATGAGCTGCAACCACCATCACTGCAGCCACATTGGGCACAGTAGTTTGTAGCTGTGGGTTGGACTTCAATCAGAAAAAACCTGTGAAGTTACCTCTCTACCCAGGCAGCCTGGCTGGCCTCCGGTCTGTGGTAATTTTCCTGCCATCAGCCTCAAGGGGATTACACATCTGGGTCCGTAGAGATATCCCAACAGGTTACAGGGCTCTGGAAAAGACACCTAGCACAGGATTCAAGTGGCTGGCCACAGCCCCTGGGCATTTTTGCTCAAGTATAAAGTCCTGCCTGCTCCTTCACACAGGGTGGGTTTTTTTCTTAGGCACTTCTTCACTACAGAAAACACCAGTAGGCTCCAGGTCTTCTCCCTTTCTATGTGTGCACGTATATGCAGGTACAGGTAGAGGCCAGAAGTCCATGTCCTTGATGCTGCCGCTTTAAAATAAAAAAAATAAAAAAGCTACAGAGCCTGTGTCGTGTGGTCAGAGGGTGCCTTCACCCACTGGGCCCTCACAGGCTAGACTAGCTGATCAGTAAATCCCAGGCATGGTCCCATCTCTGCCTCCCCACTGCTGAGATTATAGGTGTGCTGTGTGGCACTGGGCTTTTACACGGGTATGGGGTATCCAAACTTAAGTCTTAGGCTTATCCAAGCACATTACTGAATGAGCCATGCCCAGCACTCTCCCCCTTAAAAATACCTCTGAATTGTATATGTGTTTGAGTTTACACACAGGAGAGGGCATCTGATCCCCTGGAGTTGGAGTTACATGTAGGTGCTGGTGTTGTTCTCTTAACCACTTAACCCCCTCCTCCCCGAGTCAAACCTTGTAAGCTAGGCTGGCTTTGAACTCATCTTTGTACCACCACCACCCAAGTGCTGGGACTACAGGCCCTCTGGATGGCTCTGCTCTCAATCAGGTGGCAAGGTAAGTGCAAGTTCCCTCTAGCTACTCTGTGCAGCCCCTACCCTGTAGGCATCTTCCTCTCTGTAGGCCAGGATGTCCAGAACTTGTGTTCCTCCTGCCATTGACCTTTAAGTGCTGAGGCAAGAGGCCTCTGCCACCAAGTCAAGCTCCACCTTCTTGAGGTTCCAAGAATCAAACTCGAGGTCTGTGCATCCTGTGCCAAACACAATGTGGAGTGCAACTTATACAGACATGGGACACTGGTGACCATGTTTGCTTAGTGTGTGGTCCTGGACTAAAACTCCATTAAAGCTTGTTGCTTAAACGAGAGCATGCATTTCTTAACTCTTATGGCGCCTCCCAACCCAGAAAGACAAGCAGTAAACATTATGTAAGGTTCTCTTTTATTTAAAAGATCATTCACAAAATACCATATCCATAGACTCACTTTCTGTCATAGAACTGAATGTGTTAAGTGTGTGGAACCCCACTCTCACACTGTGTCAGCTGGTCGCCCAGCAGTGTGGATGGACGGGTCTGTTCTGTCTTTTCCGCACTGGAGATGGATTACCTCATCTGAAAGCATTGGCTTTGATTACAACCACGCAATGCATGTCTTTCTTAAGTTAGGAATTGATGTTACACAAATGGTTCTTATCTCAGAAGCAGAGAAGATGGCAGGCGAAGGAAGGAGCGAGAGTTCTGTAAGTTGCTGAGACCTTGCTACAAAGACAATCATGAGCCAAGAGCAAGCTGGGGAGGAGCTGTTGCCCAACCACAAGCCATGCACCTCTTGGCCCCTTTCCCTACAGCTCTGGTGGCTGGCTGACCCCAGACTGCTCCCACTGGGACAGATGGGGACTTGGTGCCAAATTTTTCATTTGTTCATACAGCTGTTCCACTTAAAAGCCAAGCCTGACCCCTTTACTCCCAGGTAGGTGCTCAGCACTGTGTGTGGGAATAAGGGTCTGCCCCACAGAGGCATCAAGCCTAGAAGATTCTAGACACCCAGGTACTGAGGGTCTCAACAGCTGTGTATAGCAAAACTTCAACTGATCAAAGTGCCAGCTTAGGCCCTGCCACTATGGACGTCAGCTATGACGGGGGGGGGGGGGTAGTGCCCTCAGGACGCTAAGCACCCCAGTTAGCAGACAGACACACACAGACAGCACACTGCAGGTATAGCCACCTCGTGCAGCTCCAGCACCACCCCTGCTTCCCGCAGGCCTCAGCTGCAGGAGACGGATTGAGCTGCAGCAGGCTGCACCTGAGGTGCCTCCACAGCTCCTAGAGAGCAGGGCACAAGCTTGCACTTGGTCTCAAGAACAGGAGCAAAGCCATGAGCCATGCGGGTTACCAACCACCTGTGTGGTCTGACCCGCTCCCCTGTCCCCTTGGGCCTCACTGTGACCCCAGCCTGCTGTGCCTCAACAGGCTGCTGAGACAGGCCCCAATCACAGCAGCCTGAGGACCAGCAGGCATGTTTTCTTGTTCTGAAAGCAAGGTGCCTCCAATTCTGCATGCTTATGCTGCTGGATACCAACAAGCTGCCATGGACTACCTAGCCAGCAACTCCAGCTCTTTCCCAGAAGCCACAGCAACACAGAACTCCACATGCAGATTAGAGAGAAGCTCCAAGAGAAAGCAGAGGACAGCATGACTGGCATGGCCAGGGCACGTAAAGAAAAGAGAGAAAGCCAAGAAGGATGAAGCAGCACCTTGCCTGCCATCCCACACGCCGGCTGCAGATACACACCCAGACACGGTGTGGAGAGAGAGGAGCAGGAGAGGCCAGAAGAGAGAGGGAGAGACAGAAAAAAGAGAGAAAGCACAAAACAGGCACTAGATATAGTAAAGCCAAGAATGTACTAGAAACCACTTGTTAACAGCTGACATGCACTCACAAGCTCTGTTTCCGCTGTAAGGAGGACAGTGCCAGGTGAGGAATGGGGCCTGCAGGGCGCCCAGCCAGGCCACCAAGCTGTGGTCTTGCTCCAGCTCCCTATGCCCCACTCCCTCCCAACCCAAGCTCATTCTTGCTCCTTCTGAACCACTTCCTCTCGGGGCCTCGCTCCCCCAAAGATGGCGGAGTTTGGGTTGGCTACTTGGTTGAGGGGCGTGGCCACTGTCCGAGGTTTAAGCTGCAGCCTTGGCCTCTGTGCTCGTTCCTCTGGGAGACAGAAAACAAGTGTTACACAGGATGAGCTACATCCAGGGTGATGGCCAATTGTTCACCAGGGGCCTCAGTGAACCAGTCTACTTTTTTGAGACAGGGGCTCACATAGCCCAGGCTGGCCTCAAACCTGCTACGTAGCTAAGGACACTCAACTCCAGAGTCTCCTGCCTCCACCACCCAAGTGCTGGGATTAAGGATCATCACGATAGACTAGCCAGCCACCTTCCTAAATGGCGTCTTGAAATTTCCAAGCCAGACACTCAAGCAAGGCTGGTTTTGTACTCAAATTAGGGAGTGATCCAGCCAACAGGGCAGGCTAGCAGGGGAAGCAGGTCCAGGGATGGCCACCATACCTTCTGTGGGTTCTCTGAAGTCCATGTTGGAGCCACGCAGGGGAGGGCCATCTCGAAAGCGACTCCCCATGGGAGGGCCTGCTCGCCGGTCACCAGGGCGACTACCTCCCCTGCCCCCTAAGAAGTCATCCCTGTAGCCTGAGGAAGAAGACACCAAGTTAACTGCTTACACTATTCTGGGAACTGAATTTCAACTTTTGTTTTCTGAGAAGGGTCTCACTACGTAGCCCTGGCTGGCCTGGAACCGGCTATGGTAGCCCAGGCTGGCCTTGAACTCAGAGACCTGCCTGCTTCTGCTGGGATAAAGGATGAGCTATCATGCCGTTTTGATTTTTTGCCTTTTTGAGACAGGGTCTCCCTGAAGTCAGAGATCCACCTGCCTCTGCCTCTGAGTGCTGGGATTAAAGGCATGCGCCACCATACCCAGCCTCATTTTCTTAAAAAAAATTATTCCTATTTTATGTGTATGTGTGTACTGCCTACATGTAAGGTAAGTGCACCCATGTTGTGCAATGCCCTCAGAGGACAGAATAAACTGTTGGATTCCTCTGGAACTGGAGTTATGGACAGTTGTTAGCTGTGATGTGGGTGCTGGGATTCAAACCCATGTCTTCTGCAAGAACAGTCAGTGCTCTTAATGGCTGTGCTATCTCTCTAGCCCTCTGGAGCCCATATACTCTGTCACCCCTGTTAATGTATACTGTGTTGTCTGGCGCACCCAGCCGTTACCCAGTGCTTGTCCATCTGCTGAATCTAGTCAGCCTAGCTAGAGTTCCTTGATTTAGGAAAATCAGCTCTTCCTCATCTAGCAGCAATCAGTTGTCAATATTCCTTTAGGTAAGATTGGGGTCTGCCGTTTGTTTCCCCAGATCTATGCTGGGTTACTGTCTGGGAGTCTCTTGGGCCACCTTGGCCAACAACTCAAAGGTAGGTAGCTCCTGTCTGGCATTGTTTCTTGTTATGTAGCCTTTAGTTATACATATGGACTCTTAAAAAATTATATTGACCCCTTTAATCTTTGGTTATCCTTTCCATGTGGGTGTTTAAGACCATACAGTTCGCCCAGATAAACCAATTTATTTTCACTCTTAAGGCCATTTGAGGATCTGTTCCTCAGGGGGCCACATGGGCTTGGGAGGTGCCCCTGGCTCCTTTCTTTTACCAGTTCCATCTATGTGAAGATAAGTCAAAGGTTCTGCTTGACCATGGCTGGTTTATTTTTTCACTTTTTGTGTATGAGTGTTTGCCTACATGTATGCATATCACATGCATGCTGGTGTTTGTGGAGACCAGAAAAAGGCGCCAAATCCCCTGGAAATGGAGTTAAGGACAGTTTGTTCAAGAGATAGCTCAGAGGTTAAGAGTGCTTGTTCTTACAGAGGACCAAATGCAGTTTCTAGCACCCACACTGAGCTGCTGACAACCACCTATAACTCCAGAGTCAGGGGATCTCACACCCTAAGGCACCCAACATATGTGGCTCATACAGAGTATGTGTCACAGAGACACATTTTTTGTTTTTTTTGAGACAGGATCTCTCTGTAGCCCCAACTGGCTCAGAACTCGTCGTGTAGACCAGGCTGGCTTCAGTCTCACAAAGTTCCACCTGCCTCTGCCTCACAAGCACTGAGACTAAAGGTGTGCAGCACTACACCTGGCCACATAAAGAATATTAAATTTAAAACAAAAAAATTTTAGGTTGGGTGTGGTGGCACACACCTGTAATCCCAGCATTTGGGAGGCTGGGACTTAAAATTTAAAAAAAAAGAAAAAAGTTTACAGGACTGGAGAGATGACTTAGCGGTTAAGAGCACTGACTGCTCTTGCAGAGGACCTGGGTTCGATTCCCAGCACCCACATGACAGCTACAAACCATTCTTAACTCCAGTTCCAGGGGACTCCAAAGCCGCCTTCTGACCTACGGGGCATTGCATGACACAGGTGCACTCACATACATGTAGGCAATATACTTGTACACATTAAAAAAAAAAAAAAAAAAAAAAGAAACAGCTGGGCATGGTGGCACACGCCTTTAATCCCAGCACTTGGGAGGCAGAGGCAGGCAGATCTTTCTGAGTTCGAGGCCAGCCTGGTCTACATAGTGAGTTCCAGGACAGCTGGGGCTACAAGGAGACCCTGTCTCAAAAAGACCAAAAACAAACAAACAAACAAATAAATAAAAAGTTTACGTCTATCAGTGTTTTGCCTGCAATGCCTGTGGTGGCCAGAAGAGGGTGTTGAACCCCCTAGAACTGGAGTTGTACTGTTACTCCCCACAATTATTATTTTTTAAATATTTTACTTATTTTTATGTGTATGTGTATTGCCTACATGTATGTAAGTGCATCCACATCATGCAATGCCCATGGAGCTCAGAAGAGGGCGTTGGATCCCCTGTAACTGGACATTAGTCGCCATGTGAATGCTGGGAATCAAACCCAGGTCTTCCACAAGAGCAGTCAGTGCTCTTAACCACTGAGCCATCTCTCCAGTCCCATGCTTTTGTTTTTGACAAGTGTCTTCATGTACAGCCCAGGCTGACCTCATATCCTCATATTCTTTTTTGGGGGGTGGGGGTAGGGGGGTATTTTTTTGAAAGAGGGTCTCCCTGTAGCTCCAGCTGGCCTGAAACTCTGTATGTAGATCAGGCTGGCCTTGAACTCAGAGATCCGTCTGCCTCTGCCTCCTGAGTGCTGGGATTTAAGGTGTGCACCACCATGCCTCGCTGACCTCATATTCTTGATCTTCCTGCCTTTGCTGCCCTATGCTGGGATCAAAGCATGTATACCACACTGGCTCCCGAGAGCTTTCTGATCTCACTGTCCCCTTGTCCCTACATGTAGTGCTGAGTAGCAGTGTTCCATGGCACCATAGACTGCTGTGCCTTATAAACCAGGAAAGGGAAATTTTGCTACCTTTGCTACCTTTGTCATACAACTCTAGAACCCCAGTGGGCTCTGGGTCCAACACTAATGCATCAATGTTACCTAATGAGGAGACTTCAAGAGACACACAGGAAATATGGTCAGGGTCAGGTACTGAATGGCTGAGAAGGCTGTGTGGGAGCAAAGCAAACTGTGTTTCCCTAGGAATGCCCAGGCTGGTTCTGGGAACTCTCCAGCACATCCTGAGTAATGAGGTCTGTCCACCGCTGTGCACCATTTCTTATCTTCAAGGCAGACAGGAATTTGAAAAAATGAATCAAGTTTTCTGAATCACAGGTCCAGAGGCCAAGATGAACAATATCTAAGTTAACAAAAAACAAAACCTGAGCTGGGTGTGGTGAGGCATGGCTTCAATCCCAGCACTCTGGAGGCAGAGGCAGGAAAATCTATTCAGGCCAGCCTAGTTGGGGCTACAGGGCAACTCTGTCTCAAAAAACCCAAAACAACAACAACATCAACCCAATAAAACAAAAAGCAAAACAAAACCCTAGGAAGGAAGGAAGCAAGCAAGCAGGGGACAAGGTGCAGGCCTGTGATGCTAGCACTCAGGAGATGGAAGCACAGAATCTGGAGTTTGAAGGTCATCCCCCCCTACAGTCAGAACAAGGCCAGCCTGAGCTACATGATACCCTGACCTTAAAAAAAAAAAAGCAATGAGGAGCCAGGGGCTCCTCCCAAGCCCATGTGACCCCTAAGGAACAGATCCTCAAACTACCTTAAGAGTAAAAATAAATCGGTTTATCTGGACCAAATGTATGGCCTTAAACACCCAAAAGGAAAGTATAACCAAAGATTAAAAGGGCCAATATAATTTCATAAGAGTCCATATGTATAGCTAAAGGCTACATAACAAGCAATAATGCCAGATAGGAGATACCTTCTTTTGAGTTGTTGGCAGGGTGGCCAAACGGATTCCCAGATAGAACTGGGAAAATGAACAGCAGACCCCAATCTTATTCAAAGGAATATTGACAACTGATTACCGCTAGATGAGGAACAGCTGACCCTCCTAAAACAAAGACCTCTAGCTAGATAGGCTGACTAGATTCACCATAAGGGCAAGGAGTGGAGAACGGCTGGGGGTGCCGACAACACAGTAGACAGTAACAGGGATATCAGAGTATAAGGGCTCTAGTGGGGGGAGGGAGGCTATGGGAGGGTGCTCTCTGGGAAGTGGGTATAAAAAAAAAAAAAAAGCAATGAAATCATATTAAGTCTTCAAAGACTTAAAGCCAATAGACACATGTCTTCTTGGCAAACACATCTGGATGCACAAACATTGAGCACAAGGTCCTTTTTAAAAAAAAAAAAAAAAAAATGACAGGGTCTCCCTGTAGCCACAGCTGGCCTGAACTCATTTTTGTAGACCAGGCTGGCCTTGATCTCACAGAGATCCATTTGCCTCTACCTCCAAGTGTTGGGCTTAAAGGGATGTGCCAAGTCTGGACCAAGAGGTCCTTAGCGTCCAGCAGATACAGGCTAGTTTGTTAAATTAGCCTGACTCACCCCTCATCTAGACTGTGAACCTTTCTGTGCACCTAATTAAATAAAACTGACACTCCTAGTGTCAGCTCAGAACAACACTGGAGACAAACACAACTGCTACTGTGCCCAGGGACACAAGGCAGACTCACTTCAAAACTGTATGAACAGCACAAAGAAGACAGCTGGGCACAGACTTCAGTTTTCTTTAAAATTCAACTCTAGTACTTATTTCTGTGGGGAAGGCAGTCATTTGTGCTAGGGCTTCAATTCGGGGCCTCTCCCCATAGACTTAAGCAGAGTCCAGTTCCTGTTTACCTTCTTTTTTGTACTTTTTTTTCTTTTTTTTTGGAGAAAAGGCTCCCTGTAGAACTCAGCTGGTTTCAATCTCACAGAGATACACCTGCTTCTGCTGGGGTTAAAGGTGTGCACTACCATGCCCAGCTTCTCTGTACTTTTAAGATGCACTTTTTTATTTTTTTAAAGATGTACTTTCATGGCATCTCTGCTTGGGTGTTAAGGGCCTAGAGAGGCAGCATGGGAAGGCTCTGGTCACTCCATAAGGAGGCAAATCACCCTGTTTCCAGAATCTGAGGCTACAAGGCTGCAGGTCATAGGTCACCACCAGGTGTGCTTCCTGGCCTGGGCCGGCTATGAGGGGATATGTGCTGTCCATTTCAGTTGGAGACTATCTTATACACAAAGTCACAGACTTACTACATGTTACAGTACTTTCATGAGTAAGCTCATTTCTGACTGGTTACAGGACTTTTAGGGACTCAGTGGTTCAGTATGAAGTCCCTACCATATCCCTCCCTAAGTCAAGTTCCCATAATTGGTTTGAATGAGGGAGGCTGGGCTGTGTGCTAAGACTTCCCAGGTCGCCTGGCAAAGAGTACAGATGTACCTCAGGTTCATGGGGATGCGATCAGGCCTGATTTTCTTTCTCTGCCTCTCTGTTAAGACTGACATTCTCCCCATGCACATGAATTACTTTCATAATTAAGAAACAAAGGGGCTGCCGAGACGGCTCAGTGGTTAGGAACACTGCCTGTTCTTGCAGAAGACCCGGGTTCGAATCCCAGCACCCACATGGCAGCTAACTACTGTCCATAACTCCAGTTCCAGGGGATCCAACAGCCTCTTCAGTCCTCGCACAACACAGGCACGCTTACATACATGCAGGCAATACACCCATACACATAAAATAAAAATAAAATTAAAAAAAAAAAAAAAAAAAAGATGCTTGTTGCCAAGCCTAACAATCCAAGTTTGATCCCTGGTATCCACATGGTGGCAAGAAAAAAACTAAGTCCCACAACCTGTCCTGACTTCCATATGTGGAGACAGACAGAGACAGAGACACATTATTTGCACATACACTAAACAGAAGAAACAAAGGTAGAGATTGTAAGGGCAATCTTTCACATAGGCCTGGCATGTAAACTGACTTCCCAAGCAGACCCCCCAGACCCCAACTTGGCTGAAGAGGGGATGTTAAAGTGGAGCCTGCCCACCATGAAGGGACCCTTCAAGTGAAGAATGATCACCAGGATCCACAACTCTGAGGTTTTCTAGGCACTTCTGGTACCGTCTACAATGCCATTTCTAGAAGCACTGATAGTTTTTTGTTTCACACAGGAAACCTGGCTGCAGCCCAGCAGTAGAAAAGGGTACAAACCAGAGACATGGGCTTGACCTGCCCCCCTGCCCTGTTCCATGTGCTCAGTGTGTGTCAGGGTCCTTTCAGAAGGTCTCATTGGTGAAAGGAGCTCAAGTAGTCAGGCTAGGCTGGATACTCCCTAGATGCAAAGAGGAGCAGGGGCTGGGGGTGGTTGGAGTGGGGAGGTGAGTCAAATACTGATACCAGAGTTGAAGTCATCTCGGGAATCCCATCCACCTCTAGACTCTCGAGAGCCACCCATTCCTGTGGATATACAAAAAAGATCAAGTTGAGGTCACATCATTACCTGACTACAAAAACTTATTTGGAAGATGCACACACCATGTGATGGGGAGGCCCACAGAAACCCCCAGGCCTGCAGACATACTGCTGCTCTAAGCTTAGAACAGCTCAAGCTCCCAAGGACCCAGCAGGTCTCTGAGCCAGCGATTGCCAAGTGGTACGTAGGAGTGGCAGGCTGGGTGGTGTGCACACAGCAAGCTGTGCCAGCCTGAGAATAGCTGATCACCTCTGTCATCAGGTCCGCCTTTCCTGAATCCAAAGCCACCTTTATCTTGTTTTCTGCCTTCTGCAATGTCCACACGAAGTGGCCGGTCACCTAAGAGCTAATGACAAGAAGAAAAGTGTTAAATATCAACAGGAACATACTACTCAGCTGCTGCCTAGATAGGGCAAGCTGGGATACTTACCGCGCCATCATATGTCAGAGCCTCCTTTAGGGAATCCACCTCATCGAATTCTACATAGCAGAACCCTGGAAGAGAGCAAAGCCAGTTTGCATACACTTTGGATTCCAGATTGCACCACACCACCCTGTCTGCACCATCTCACAACACTACATGTGGCATATGGGTGACATGAGAGTCCAGATCATGCCTAGTATTTCTACTACCTCCCTTCTTCTTTAGACAATGTCTCATATAGTCCAGGCTAACCTCAAACCTGAGATGTCACTGAGGATGATCTTAAACTCCTGATCTCCTGTCTCCATCTCCAACTGCCAGGACCGTTGGCCTACACCACAATGCCTGGTTTATGCAGTGCTAGAAACCAAGCCCAGGGCTTTGTGCATCGTAGGTGAGCACTCTATCAGCTAAGCTCCAGTCCCAGTCCCTAATTATGTCACTGCTTGGTAGAGAACACCAACCTGTGCTGCAGGGCAACTTTCTTCCTCAATGGCTTCTGTGAGGGCAACCGGGAGACCCTGACCCAAGTTCAAGCAGGCAATGACGAAACAGTCACATACCTCATCCTTGAGAGCTCTAAGGGAACTACATCCTGCACCACTATACAGCCCAAAGCTAGGCTGATTGAGAAACCCTTATGCAGATCTGGTTTCCTGGTGCTTGCTAATATGCAACTTGGCATTCCCTGACCTGTGTTTACTGATGGGTTAGGCACATTGCACAGCAGGCACGCTGTGCACCCAAAGTCACCCCATAATCTCTCTGCTTCTGGCAGGGCTTACAGCCTGCAATGAGGCCCAGGAGACAGGATATGGTTACCTGTCATTACCATCCTTGGCCCGTTACCAGACACCATAGTGCAGACACTAGTGTATATGAACACTGAGCTTACCAAGGGAGGCTAAATACAGAGATTATTTCTGGATTTACAACTGAATGACAGGGAATCTAAAGAAGTATGAGTCAGCTAAGGAGAAACTACCTTAAAAGTTGTCTTCAGGAATGATGGGATGGCTCAGTGGGTAAAGGCATTTGCCACCAAGCTTGGTGGCCTGAGTTTGATCCCTGGGACCCACATGGTGAAAGGACAGAACCAACTGGCAAAATGTTCTCTGACCTCCACACCTGTGCTGTGGCATGGGGACACATACACGATAGGTAAATGTTTCAGCTCCTGTCTGGCAGGGACAGGACTATATAAAAGCTGGGTAGACAAACCTGGGTACACGATACACCCTGCTACAAACCATTTAACAGCGTAAAATGCATTTCCCAGGGGGAAACCACAGACCTAGAAAGGCTTATGTGGATTTTTGCTCCCTAGACTAGGCTGGCATGGGACAGACTTTCAGGAGCAAAGTCTTCTGGTTAACTAAGGTATTTTTATTTATGCCCCCCAACTTCAACCTTCCCCAAACACACAACACCCCAAACTCACCTTTAAATTTGTCGGTGTCTTTGTCTCTGACTAGCCGCACACTCCGTATGCTGAGATCCTTGAAGATAGCATCTATGTCACCCTGAACTGTATTAAAAGGGAGATTTCCTACATAAGCTGTGTAGGGGGGCTCTGTGGGCAGCTCCTTCTGGCTTCGGGAACCATGGCCACCAGCACTGCCTCGGGACCTAGAAGGAGACAGAGGTCAAGGCTCCTGAAGCCCCGCCCAAGAGGCCTACTGAGCTGCCTGCCATCCTCACTTTAACCAACAACCAGATTCTAAAGATTTTAAGGAATATTATAAAATATAATTTACCGGCCAGGTATGGTGGCGTATGCCTTTAATCCCAGCACTTGGGAGGCAGAGGCAGGCGGATCTTTGTGAGTTCGAGGCGAGCCTGGTCTACGTAGTGAGTTCCAGGACAGCTGAGGCTACAGGGGGACCCTGTCTCAAAGACAGGAAAATTTTTTTTTTTTTTAACCAAAATGGTGCCTGCTTTTGCTGACAAAAACAGCCACAGAAACACAGAATGTAAGTAAACACTGGACCTGGACAAGACAGTCCAAACATAGTACAACTAAGACAACTCCCCTGCTGAGGTAGAGTCTGCCTGAGTACTATTCACAGGGCAAAACCCAAGCTGACACACCCACAGTACACAAAACAGGGAAGTACTCAGGAGGCAAGGTCAGCCTCAGGTTACAGAAGACCCTGCCATAAACCCCCCAAAAAGGTGCAGGAAAGATGACTCAATAGTTAAGAGCACTTGTTCTTGCAGAGGACAGAAGCTCGGTTCCTAACACCTTTGGGGAGTGGGCCACAACTGCCTTTAACTCCATCCCCAGGGGATCTGATGCGCGCGCGCGCGCGCGCGCGCACACACACACACACACACACAAATTAAAAACAAAAAAGAATGGGCGTGAGTTTGAATCCCTGGGGCTCACTGGCCAGTCAGTCTAACTGAAATCAATGAGCTCCAGGTTCAGTAAGAACCTGTCTCAAAACTAAGGTGGAGGATGATTGAGGAAGACATCTGATATTGACCTCTGCCTAAGCATGAGGCAGGCAGACAATAAACCAGAACAGAGAGCAGGACATAGTAGTCATGCCAGCACGCAGGAGGTGGAAGCTGGAAGATCAAGAGTTCAAGGCCATCCTTAGCTAGAAAGTGAGTTGAAGGCCGGCCTGGGGCTACATTAGACCCTGTTTGGAAGGCAGGCCACAAATCAAGAAGCCAGAAGAGATTGTCCAGAAGGGATGCCCCTTTCCAGGAGATAAGGAAGCTGCTGAGGTTCAGTCAGCTCATGCTACTACTACCCTCTACTGCTGACCAGTGGAGTAAGGGTGTTCTCTCTAACAACAGTTGTGTGAGTACATGTCTGTATTGCCCAGTTCACAGCCAGTCTGATCTACATACAAATCCTGTGTCAAACAACAAAAACAAACTCCCCTCCCCCAATTTCTGTCACTTCCCAAAAGTGAACCTGCAGTAAACTGGCTTAGGAGAACTGTGACCACATGTTCTCATTTCCTAGTCTCCCAAGTTCACACAGTAAATGTGACTGACTTGGCAGTTCAACCCTTTGCCGACTCTACTCTCCCATCCAAGCTCCTGAAGTCTGAAACACTTTCAGCATACTACCTTAGGACTGGACCATGGGAATGTAAGATGCCACCCGAGCATCTGAAGATCACACTGTGAAAACCCACAGTAAGGAGCTGTGTGAGGCTGCAGATGAACAGTGCTTGAGGCCAATGCGCTCTCTCGGGACAACTCCCTTACACCCTGCTTACTCTGCAGATGTAAGATGAGCTATAGGGAAGGGACTTAAGGAGGGACAACTACTGACCTTCTGATGACCCACCAGGAGGTGGGCCACCGAGCCTTGAGGTGGTGTGGGTGGCATATGCAGCAGGGATATGAGAGACACAGGATGTGACTCACTTCTACCAAGTGAGGACAGTGCAAGCTCTCATCACACTACTCCTAACATCATTTGACTTTAAGCACTATTTATTTCTGGAATTTTCAGAAATATTTCCAGAATAGCATTTTCAGAAACAGGTGATCTTAGGTAACTGAAACTGTGACGGGCACCATAAATGGCAAATAGCCAGTTTCTCTAAAAGCACCTGATGTGGGGCTGGAGAGATGGCTCAGTGGTTAAGAGCACTGTCTGCTCTTGCAGAGGACCAGGGTTCGATTCCCAGCACCCACACAGCGGCTATAAACCATCCCTAACTCCAGTTCTAGGGGAATCCAAAGCCCTCTTCTGACCTCTGGGGCATTGCATAACACGGGTGCACTCACATACATGCAGGCAATACACTCATACACATAAAATAATAATAATAATAAAACAAACAAAAAAACCCCACCCAGATTAAAAGCACCTGATGCAAGGTGAGCTCTGAGCACAGGTGTGGTGAAAACAGGCCCAGGACTGAGACGGCCAGGCTGTCCAACCTCTACCTAAGCCCAGGGAGCCCAAGAGACTGTGGTTAGGACAGGCACTCACTCACTCGCATGTGGCTTTAGGGAAGACAGAAAGCCTAGTTTCAGGAGAGTAGAACTTGATGAGCTAAGTATCAAGTGGAAGCACTTCACAGTTGGCTGGTGACAGCCCATGCTAAGCACCCTATGATCACTTTGCCTATAGGTTGCAGCCTTCATCTGCAGGTCACAGTAGGGCAGAAGGCTTGGGCCTAGGTACATTTACTCTCGGTAACACTTACAAAGTGCCTGCTGCATGCCAACAGTTTGTGATAGAGTGAATGACGGAGACAAAACCAACAGCACACACCTGAGATGACAACACTGTTACCACCATCAGTGAGCACAAATAAGTTTCAGAAAACTGAGTAAAAATATCTGACAGCTCTGACCTTTAAGTCTGAGGACCTATTACCATTAAGGTACTGAAGTATCTTCGTGTGAGGTCATAAGGCATTTCCTCAGTACTGGGCACAGTGGCACAGCACTTAAGGAGGTTAAGACCAGCCTGGGCTACATGGCAAGATCATGTCTCAAAAGACAAAAGCATGGAGCTGGAGAGATGGCTCAGTGGTTAAGAACACTGGCTGTTCTTGCAAAAGACCTGGGTTTGAATCCCAGCACATGGCAGAACAACTGTCCGTAACTCCAGTTCCAGGGGATCCGACGGCTTCTTCTGTCCTCCTCAGGCATTGCATGACACAGGTGCACTTACCTACATGCAGGCAATACAAGCATACACACTAAAAAAAAAAACACAAAAAAACCAAAAACAAAACCACCACTTGGAAGCCAGGTCCATCTTCCACAGCAGTAGCCTGAGTAGGACCTCTGCCAATCACAGGTCACTTTTGTGCCTCAGTTGTTTTATATAGTCCAGGGTGGCCTCAAACTCTGGCTCTTCAGATCTCCATAGTGCTGGGATTTTGGGTGGGGCCAGCACATCCAACTGTGCATCTTGTTACTTTACAAATACCTGAAATCTTAGTTTCATAAAGGAGTTTAATTGACTATAAACCACTTCATAAATACTGAGTGCTATATAAAATTTAATAACAACTCCAGAGTGTTCATGGTTAGGCTGCCATACCTGAGGCTACAGTGTGAGCAAGGCAGGGAAGAAGGCAAACTGGGACCCCAGCAGGAGGAGCTCTAGGCTTCACAGCCATGTCCAAGTCAGGTCCAACACCAGTCCCTCAATCAAGGACTGTACTTCCAACTCCCAGGCTCCACATGCCACCATACAGCTCCCTCTCTGCTCCATTAACTACCGATTAGTGACAACCAAGTGATCTTTGACACAATGGGGAAGTTTCAAAGTGGCAATAATAACTCAGGAAATCTAACTCTCAGCTCCAAGTGTGACCCAGTCAACCAAAAGTGGACTGTCTATGAAGGTCAGAGCAAGACACATGAAAGGCCCTAGACCTGAGTCCTGCCCTCCAGGGGCTGAACCAACTCAGTGGTTCAAGTGGCATGGGAATCTGGAAATTACCTTGCATAAAGTAACAAGTCTCTGGACCGGAGCTGCTAGACGGAGATGTCTCTCCAGCAGAACCTGGAGCCTACTTTCTAGACAGAAGACTGAGAAAACAAATTTTAAAGGTGGGCTAGCCAGGTCTCCAGGTAAACAGACTAGAGGGAGGGCCTCCTCAGAGGAAACCAACCAGGCCCAGGGTGTCATTCAGTGTCTGCTTAGCAAGCTAGAGGTCAAGGGTGCTGTCTTCAGCACCATACATGCACCCAGAAAAGCCGATGAGAGAAAAGTAGAGACCAGTGGGCCAGGGCTGGATCCCAGTAAGCAGAATTGGTCAAACTGGCCTGGTGGGCAAAGGCCTGTGACTCTAGGTAAAGGAACCTCAAAGAAAACAAAACAAAAAAATCCCCCAAATCCAAGATGGATAGATGGCTCAGTGGTTAAGAGCACTGACTGCTCCTACAGAGGACCTAGGTTTGATTCCCAGCACCCACACGGCAGTCAACAACCATCTGTAACTCCAGTTCCAGGGGATCCAATGTCCTTTTCTGACCTCCGTGGTCAATGCCATGACATGGGTGCACTTACATACATGCAGGCAATACACTCATACACATAAAATAATTTCTTTTCTTTTTTCTTTTTTTTTTGTCTTTGGCTAAAGGTCTCCCTGTAGCCCCAGCTGACCTGGAACTCACTATATAGACCAGGCTGGCCTTGAACTCACAAAGATCTGCCTGCCTCTGCCTCCCGAATGCTGGGACTAAAGGTGTGCACCACCATGCCCGGCTCACATAAAATAATTTCTAAAATTCAAAATCCATTTTTAAAAAAGGTTTGGGATAAAGTTTGGTACTAGAGTGCTTGCCTAGCATGTAGGAAGCACTGGGTTTCATCCCTACCTAGCACCATATAAACCAAGTGTGGTAGTGCCTACCTATGATCTCAGCATTGGGGCGGTGGGGCGGGGGGGGGGGCGGGGGGGGATGCAGACAGGAAGATGAGGAGTTCAAAGGCATCCTCAGCTATATACCAAGTTCCAGGCCACCTGGATACATGAGATCTAGTCTCAAGAATGAATTACAACAAATAAACATGCCAGGTGTGGTAGTGTATACTTTAATCCCAGCACTCAGGAGGCAGAAGTATGCAGATCTCTATGAGATCTAGGCCAGCCCAGTCTATGTAGCGAGTTCCAAACCATTCGGGGTTA